CATGAGCCCTGCCTAGACCAGCGGTCTGCTGTGGGCCACGTCCTCCTGCACCATGTCTCTGTCCTCACTTTAGTTCCGGCTCGATGCCAACAGTCGCTAGGGAGAAGAGCGCACAGTGCAGTTTGGAAACTGTTACCGCTTCAAGAGTCAGTCTTGGAATCTTTTTGATATCATAATTTATTTCAGTCAGCCCTAGAATAATTACCCTACTACTTCAAGGTTATGAAACATGCTAGTTTGAACAGAGCAGTCAGAATGAAAATGTTCTGGCTTGTACCATCTTTTATTAGCCCATTTGCCTCTCAGGTAAAATGAGGAGAAGCATAAATTAAATCAGCATTCTTTAACTACTTATTATATACAATCTGTCCCTCTCAGCAGGACAAGTAGGTGAAACTCCACTGCCTGCTTTCCTTCCGTGGACTAATATGTGCAGCGCATGTCTCTTTTCATTAATAGTTGTTTTCATTAATATTTGTTTGAGTCCTTTTGGCAAGATCCCTCTATTTCCCCCTAATGTGGGTGATTTCCACAGTGAAATGTGTTTGCAGCTCCACCCACTTCGGAGTTAACAGCTCCAACCTGGTTCCCAGGGGCACCTAAGAAAGTGCAAGTCTAATCATCACCCCTTTAAAATTAAGACTTGAAGGCAAAGGGGACATCTTTGTCAGTTTAAGGAAAAAAAATCAAAGCTTTCCTGGAATTTTTTGACTATAGCAATATATAAAAGCCAACTTCAAGTCTTCTTCTTTGTGGAACATTGAGTTTTCCTTTAATTCTCCGTGTAGGGCTTAGGTCGTGTCAACACTCGCAAAGCATTTCAATCTAATAGGAGCAAGGACGCCACAACGACGTACCCAGAGTATTCTTGACTAGGAACTGTTCTTTATTCCTCATTTCCTCCTTTTTGAACTTGCATCTTTAGAAATCACATTACAAACAAAATCACCAAACCATTTAGCTGTAACCATATTTTATTAGAAAAGTGTATATATTTTTCTCTGGTTGCCACAGTCGGCATTCTCTGAGAGGGCAGGAATCGTTTAAGGTGGGAAATTGGAGAAGGACAGGTACTAGTTAGGCCTGTCTGCCCGGAAGGAGATCACAAGGTCATGCTTATTTTGGCAGTTTGTTGAGCTGAAGTGAACCACTTCAAAGGAACAGGATGGCCACACTTACCTGAAGAGGTTGGCTCTGAATAAATGGTTTTACCTTCCGACAGCTCCAGTCATTTAATTACAAACGACCAGTCATATAATTATAGAAATGTTTCAAATATTAAAAGGAAGAAAATGGTGTGATAGGTTAGCACATTTGATTGAAAGCCATGTTTAAATACTTTCCCTACAAATGTTCTTTGCATCAAGAAACTGGCACGTAAGAAATACATGAAACCTGATTTATAATGAGATTGAATCTACTTAAGTAATAACCTTCTTCCAGAAGGTACAGTATAAGCTGTGCTACTTTAATGATGAGAGACCCAACATTTCTATCATTAGTTACACAGCTGGACCAGAGGTGAGGCCTGCATTCATCCATAGGGATTATTTTACTGTAAAAAAGAAAATTGTGTCTTGAACTTGAGTTGAGCAAGTGAGAGCATAGCAGTGAACTTCTCTTCCAGTAACTGGCCCTTATTTCTCAGATATTTCCTAAGATGGAGCTATTAGAATTTGAACTTGAAAGAAGATGAAAATACTTTGGTCTGCAGTTGAAAATATTACAGTGTTTTACTGTTCTCAGCTATACCGGGTCTAGTTAGTGGCTTTCGAGTATGCATTTGCACCTGCTATTTTCACGTCCGCCATATAGAACATTACTTGCTGTGTTTCACACATCGTATGCTCTGCCCTGTGGGGACAGCCAGATCCACGTCTCTAGTCCCAGACCTGTCCCTGAGCTCTGTGTTCTTACTGCCAGTGGAAGCCTGGCCGTCTGCACGTGGAGCGTCCCCCTGGGGTCCAGCTCTCTGCTCTGCTGGTCACTGTGGTTCAGAGCCTCAGGGCCGTATAGTACTGTTCCTCTCCCAGAGTGCCCCCTAGCCTTCCTCTGCCCCACCAGACACTTTGTGGTCGGTACACATTGTGCATTTTCCCACTTCTGTGCCTTTCTTGTGGTGTCCCCTCACCTAAAAGGCTCTAATTTGGTCCTAAATCCTCCCCATCTTTGAAGTTTCTGCTCAGATCCCTTCTCCACAAAACCTGAATCTCTCCATTGGAATTCATCGGTCTCTTTTCTCCACTGGCTGCTCTTTATATGCTATTAACATCCACTGTTTACCTCTTCCAATTTTTTATGTTGAAAATTTTCAACCATTCAGAAAAGTTGAATGAATAGTATGGTGAACACTAATACACTTGCCATTTTGATTCTATAATAACATTTTACTATATTTACATCTGTCCCTCTATCCGCTCATCAATCTATCATATATTTTTATGCATTTCAAAGTTTGTAGCAGGCATCAGTACGTTCTACCCCTACATAGTTTTGCACGTATTGCATTAACTAGAGTTCAATCTTTGTTTACTTTTTTTAGGTAAAATTCTTATACAGTATCTTAAATGTACCATTTGATAAGTTTTATTGCATGCACATACTTTTGTAACTCAAATCAGTGTCCAGATGCAGAACACACCATCACACCACAGAGTTCCCTCATGCCCCTTCTCAGTCGATTTCAATATCCATTCCCAAAAGCAACCATGGTTCTGATTTTTTTTTTTTACCATAGATTAGTTTGGCCCATTTTTGAACTTCATATAAACGAAATCAAATGATATGTTCTCCTTCATGCAAGGATTCCTTCTTTCAGTGTAGTGTTTTTGAGATTCATCCATGTTGCATGTCTGAGTAGTTTATTCCTTTTTGTTGCTGAATAATATTGCATTATATGAACATATCACACCCATATCCTATTAATGGAAACTCATGTTGTTTCCAGTATGGGGTTGTGCAGGTCCTTTTTTGGTTGACATATGCTTTCATTTCTCTTGAGTAAATACCTAGGAGTGAAATAGCTGGGTTACATATAGGGCAAGTTTATGTTTAGTTTTATAGAAATTGCTAGACTGTTTTCGAAAGTGGTTATATCATTTTAACCTTCACCGCAGATGTATGACAATATAGGTTGCCCACAGCCTTGTCAACATGTGATGTTGTTAACCTTTTTAATTTTAGCTGTCCTGGTGGGTGTATTGCAGTATCTCGTTGTGGGTTGAGTTCTCATTTCCCTGATGACTAATGATGTTGAGTATTTTCTCAATGCCTATTAGTTGTGTTATTTATTTGGATATCTTCTTCTGTGAAAGGTCTGACCTTGTGAAGGTCAAATTTTTTGTCCGTTTGTAATTAAAATCTTTTTATGATGGGTTGAAGGAGTTTTTTATATATTCCAAATACCAGTCCAGTGTGAGATGTATGTTTTGTGAGTATTTTTCCCACTCTGTCATTTGCCTTTTCATTACCTTAATGGTTTCTTTTAAAGAGTGGGTGTTTTTAATTTTGATGAAATCTGACATACCATTTTTTTCTTTTATGGTTATTGTTTCCTATGTCCTAAGAAGCTTGGCCTACTTCAGAGTCACAAAGATATTCTGTGTGGACTTTTTTTAGACACTTAATTTTAGCTTTTACAATGAGGTCTGTAACCATCTCAAATTAATTTTTATGTATGGTATGAGGTAGGGGTCAAGGTTAGTCCCCCCCATGTGGATATCCACTTCTGCACACCTTCAGGAGTGTTCTTCTCACCCTCGTATTGTAACTTAGCCTGCCCATCTCTGTAAGCCCATGAGTTGACCTTTACACACAGAAAATGTTCAATATGTGTTCACTGAATTACATTAAATAATGATTCAGAGAATAATAGAGGATTCTGGCAGTTTTTTAATGTCTTAATGTTGAAAGTAGTTTTATAGGATCCATCCCCCTCAAATTAAATGTCAGCGTATAGAGCCTGTTCAACCCTTGAGTTAGCATTTTCTGTCAAGAATAAGGTTGATTGCTTGAATCTTTGTCCTTGGTTTCTTTGGAGTGAAGAAAGGAGATACATTGAGCTTTTTATTGAATTCTTTTTTTTTTTCTTTTTCCCCTGAGACAGAGTCTTGCTCTGTTGTCCTGGCTAGAGTGCAGTGGTATGTATCATCATAGCTCCCTGCAGCCTCAAACTCCTGGGTTCAAGCGATCTTCTTGCCTCGGCCTCCTGAGTAGCTGGAACTATAAGCACATGCCACCATGCCTGGCTAATTTTTCTATTTTTAGTAGACATAGGATCTTGCTCTTGCTCAGGCTGGTCTCAAACTCCTGAGCTCAAGTGATCCTCCCTCCGCAGCCTCCCAGAGTGCTAGGATTACAGGTGTGAGCCACTGTGCCCAGCCTGAATTCTCCATATATGCTAGATATAGTGCCTCATTGTTTTCTACTACATCTTCTTGTTTTATCTTTGTAGCAACCTTGTATGTTAGGTGAGGAAATTTGAATACCAGAGATTTTAAGTGATCTCTGCATTATGCAATTAGTAAGTTGCAAAGCTAGGAGTTCTCTAGGACAGAGAAATCTGGAGAAAAGCCAATAACTTGATTCTGATACAAGATTTCTGTAAAAGAATTAATACTTGGTTGATTCTGAAGTGGGTAAAACTTGATAGTAAAACTTGATAAGTAATTAAATTTATTAAGTTCTGAATCATGCTACTCAAAGATAGCTAAAAAAATTTAGTCTTCTAATATCACTCCAAGTGTATAGTAATATATGCAAAAGTAAAAACCCTTGGGAAGTATATCTGGGCCTGATAAATCTCTAAGCTAAGCTGTGATTAGATGGCGAAAGTGCATTAAACTTATAAATAGCTTCAGGGCCTTCACTCTACCCATGACTTTATGAAATGTCCTTCTGGTCAGGTCATAGAGCCAAACTCTTATTTCACAAAGCCAGAATGTTCCCTTAGTGTAAAGATTTGAATTTGTGTCTTTGTCCTTCCTTACTGTCTCCTGGTGAACGTGGTCGCTGATCTCTCCTTTGTTTGCAGGAATGCTCCAGAAGTGTCCTTCTGTTGAAGACTTTGTAAGTGCCCTTGTCTCTGACTTGGATCTGGACTTCGAAACTTTCCTGATGGATTCTGAATGATGGAAACATCCTGAATCTTTGGAATCAAGGTCATGTAGATATTAACTTTGTTATAAATGCTATAGCTGTGAAAACTGGCTTCTGATCTCAGTGTTCACTTCTGTAATAACTTCTGAAAAACTTTAAACTGTTGGAACTTGGAATAAATAATTTGTTTTAATTATGCTGGCTTTTCACCTGTTTGGCAAATTTTTAAACATATGGAAATCTTCTCAGTAAGCCAGTACAAACTACACTTCCACAATGACATGTTAAATGTAGGGTCTGGGTGTTTCCTTTGTTTAACCACTCTCTGGTTGAACTTTGCCCCGCTTCTGTTGATCATTGGCACAGTTTGAAGCAATCTTCAGAAAAATTCCACATATAGTTCTTTTAAGATGATTACCATTTCTTAAGACCACTGTACTAGGCTTTGAAAATTCACTTCAGTCAATTACAGCAACCAAGAAACCAAGTGTGGTTTCCATAGTTCTCGTGATTGTCTGTGTTGTGTTTTCTGAGTGTTTAGGCACTGCACAGGTGGACTTGGAATAGAGAGGACTTGAACTCATACTTTTCTGGCTTGAAAGTAGAATTAGTAAGTATAGGTACAATTAGTAAGTGAAGTGCCCAGGTCAAACAACTGGTAAGAAAGGAAGCTGGGATTCAAACCATGTCTGTTTTTATCCAAAACCCAACTGCTTTATGCTATTGCACACTGCGCTGTAATTTGCTAATATCAGGGGAGAAATTATTTAATGGGTTTTTCCCACCATTAAAGTCAAAAACTTAATTATAGATTTCCATTTTAAAAAGGCATTTGCTAACAGCCTTTTCCTGCTTTTCACTATAAATGACCAATGATGAAGTAAAAGGGGAAGATTCAAAAACCCCAGAACGAGCATACACATTCCAGCTACCCACAGAATCCGGAGGAATTTCTATGAGCTCAGAAACAGATGAGACCAGATGGAGAGACATCCTTGGTGACCTGCCTGTGCCGGTCCACCCAGATGCAAGGGGGACTGACCAGTCATCCTTTCCCACCTCTTGCTCACACTTAGAAATCCAAATCTATATCCACCAGAAAGCAGAGCCGCGGGCACATCACCGAGGTGGGCCTTTTCGTTTTACAGAGTGCTGTGGTGTTCGTTTTGTTTTAAGAGATGGGGTCTCGCTCTGTCACCCAGGGTGGAGTGCAGTGGTGTGAGCATAGCTCACTGCAGCTTCAAACTCCTGGGCTCAAGCGATCCTCCCGCCTCTGCCTCCTTAGTAGCTGGGACTACAGGCGCGCGCCCCCACGCCTGGCAGAGTGCTGTACTTCACTCCTCTTCCTGCTCCGCCCTGTTTGAGTTTCTTTATACATGAACACTTGGAAACTGCAACTCACAGAAAACCCTTGGGTAGGGAGTCAGGCAAGGCTGGCAGTGGCATCTCCTTCGTACCCAAAGCAGAGTCGAGGAGGGGAACCCACGGGTTGAGGTGGTGCTGGCCACAGGAAGGGCCCCAGTGCCAGTACTCAGAGAGGAATCTAGCTGCTTCTGAGTCCTGCCCTATTTATTCACAGTATCCGAGCTAAGGCAGGCACAGATCTTATCCTGACGAACTTGCACTATACGATGCCAGCTCTATTCTGGAGAAATTAACATCAACCTACCAGTTCCAGGTGAATCAGAAAAGGTGCTTTAATCAGCTTAGGTGTACCGCCAGTGACATAGCCCTGCATCTTTGTCAATCCCTTTTCAGTTGCAGATAAGCAAAAAAAGAAATCTATATGGAGCCTGCGTACAAACATTCTTCAGAAAAAGAGAAGGGAAATATCACCTGGAAGATGCTGGAAAATCATAACTGTGAAAATTGTTTTTAAAAGGAACTAAAGCACCTTGTAGAAAACCTCTCTGGTATTCTTAGTGAGATTTGAGAAAACATGGTATTTATGAAGCGGAAAGCCATAAGGAAAGAATGAGCAGAAATAAAAAGACAATAGGGCAAGTTAAAAAGGAAAATGGGTCGAATAAGAAAAAAATGCAGGGAAACGAAAACCACAGTACAGTGATTTAAAACATTCTCGGAAGCAGAAAAGAACGAAATTGTCAAGGACCAACTGGAGAAACATCTCTCGGAATGCAAGTGAGCGGGTCTGATGTGAGCGATAGCAGGAGAGCGGAGTGGGGCCCACGCACTCTGGATCATGGAATCCCGCAGCTGAGGCCAGGGCAGCTGGAACAGAAGCAATCGCCGGAAATAAATCCTGTGTACGCCGGTGTTCCTGGCGCCCGAGCCAGGGGCGAGCACTTAGTAGGGGTGCTGATGAATAAATGCTAATCAATGAATTTAAGAAAACATTTTTGAGCTGAAAAGAAAAAAATGCACAATTTAAAAGGGAACTTTGATGGTGGCACAACAATGTGTGTGTCCTTCGTGCCGCTGAACTCTGCACTTTAAAATGGGTCAGCTTTATGGTAAATTTTATATTAAGTATATTTTACTACAATATTTTAAAAAGCAAACAGAAGAGAGAATTCTGAATTCCAGACCAAGAAAACAGTGAAAAGAGACTTTCACCTAGATACATTCTACTTTTTTTGAGAGTTTAAGTATAAATATAATTAAAATTACAAGCCAGCATATCCCAAATTGGGCTTTGCAGAACACTTCTCAGGAGCTGTTACTTAGTGTTCCATGAACTCAGAAGAGTCCTGTTATTAAATACATTTAGGAAATGCCACAGAAGCTTTGAAGGCTCACCGTGCACAGCGGCAACCCTACAATCGCAAAAGAGATCTGGCATTGCACTCGAGCCAGTATTTCCCAGACGTATTTGATTATGGGACCCACGCCCCTTTTTGGAGTACCTATCGACGTTTTTCAGAACACTAGGAAATAACTGCTAAAAGCATTCAACTAGAAATAACAGGCTTACCTACAAAGGAACAGAAATTACAGTGCTCCCAGAATGCAATTGTTCAGCACCATTTAAAGCCAAAGAACCATGGAAAAAGTTTTGAGAGGTAAAGGCTGAGGTGCAAAATGACATTCTCAGGTAGATGAGGGCTCAGAAAACATGAGAGCTTTGTACTTCCTGTTAAAAATCACCAAAAGAATAATTTTGACAAAGAATCAAAACAAAGGAATCCTCCGAGGAACTTCAGAGAATGTGGAGGGGTCATTGACTCGTCGCAGTAGCAGCTGGATCAGTCATAGTAGCAAATTATTTCATTGTCAATGTTTTCCCTCACGATGGGAATAAACCCATGAGCACTCGGCAACCCCTCTGGGAAAAATGCTCTCCTGGAGTTAGGGTTTCCCATCGGCTTCCAAAAATTGAATGCAAAGTACTTATGAATATATAAACACTAAAAATAATCTAGTAAAAGAACTAGAGGATAATGAATAAAATGTTAATGTGGTTGTCATTAGGTGTTGGGATTTTGGCCTTGTATTCTCCTGTCTTCTTTCTTCCATTTCCAATTTTTTTAAAGTACGCGATGTGTTAATTTCAATAATAATTTAAAATTTACATAATGTTTAGTCATAGCAAAGCTAAATTTGAAGCATTTTTCCAGTTCTGAAGAAAGGCTTGGCTGAGGTAAGCAAATTCAGAAAATGTCTTTGAGTCATTCAGGGAACATGTGTACAGTCAAAACCATTATTAACAGCCAAGATGTAGCCTAATTTGGCAAAAGCGATTGAGAAAAAATATTTATAACAATGGTGCTTGACATTTACTTGGTATTTTTTAGTTTACAGAGAACTTTTTCCTACTTGTTTCATGTGATGCTCATTACCCTGTCAGAGGACAGGTGGTGTAGTGTCATAGTGTGTTACTAGGGAAGCAGACAGACCTGGCCGTGTGTCCAGGGCCACAGAACTGGCCGCTGCAGAGGCAGGACTAGAGCCAGCCCCCTTGGCTCCTCACCTGCTGCCCTTTCTGCCGCACGCGGATCCTCAGGAGAGCACGCCCGCACTGCGCAGGCTCCTGGGTTACAGCCGGACACCGACCTTGGAGCGTGGACTGGCCACGTGACCCCCACAGCTGTTCGGCCTCATGGAGTTTGCCAGTTTTGTGCTTGAGGAGGCCAGAGCCTGTGCACAGATAGAAGATGAAGTGAAATATGATGTTCTCACATCAGACCAGGAAAGACAGCCAGTGCCGGGGTGGGAGGCTGCAGGGGAGAGGCGGAGACATTCTGGAATATTCATCAACAGCACTTGGTATCAAACTGTGTGGTGGCAGGTGGGAGCAGGTGCAAATGCCAGCTATGTGTTCATCTAAACCACAAGGCAAGAATGTGTGGGGAACAGGAAGCAGGCACAAGGCCATGGTGGGCCATCAGTGTCCACTCTTGAGGTCGATTATTAATCTGCCTCTTTTGAGTAAGATCATCTAGCAATTACGAGCTGCTATCCAGGTACATTTCTCTATGTCATCTACAAAAATGCCATAAAGGACTTTTTCAGAGCCTTGCTGAAACCCAGTTGCATTCGGCCACGGCACTCCTTGGTCTGAGGCTGACTGCATGCCCACAGCCCCCGTGTCGTGCTTGCAAATGTTTTGCCCTCACTGTGTGCTTTGGGGTGAGTGAAATGGTCCCCACTGGAGTGACGCATGGAGAAGAGTATGTGGAAGGCAGCTCTCGCACACGTGCACTAGCAGGGTCCGAGGTGTGTGTGGCGAGTCTTCATTCCTGCAAGGGATTGGGGTTAGGGAATGTTTCCAGGAGGAACAAGTCTGATGCAGAATCTTGAAATAAATGCTAGGTGTGAATTAGAAAACTCATTCGAAAGAGAGCTCACCGTATCAATGTGGTTAGTTCACCTTGGCAAAGTGTGAAGCTCTAACATGCCCACATTTGAAATAAAAATTCAGCTTTTTGTAATACAAACTACCAAAGGATTCAGGAATATGAAGGTATCCAAAACATAAAAGGCCCAGGAAGCATAAATATATTAATATCAACTGCGCATAAATGTAAAATGCCTTTGGCCCGGGGAGCACCCAGAGTGGCAGAGCACTGTATTCGTGTTACCTTGCACAATGCACACAGCAGCAGCAAGCCTCGTGGGTTCAGGACCTTTGTCCGGAACTCCAGATGTTTTCCACACAACCTACATTACCTGTATGTCTTGAAGACACATCAAATTCAACCTCCAAAATCAAATGCGTCCTTTATCCCAGGTACT